ACAGGCATACAATAAAAAAACCTTAGGCAAAATTTTTATCCTTTTGTGTCATGTCGTGGCCTTGAGTGGTTCGATGGCATGTATTGCGTGTCAATGACCACCGTCCAACCGAAAGTTACATTGCCCATGACAAGGACAGGTACAACTTTTTTTCTGTCACCTTTACCGATCGCCACATGTGACCTGTGTGACCGGAGAAAGCTTCGGGCGCTAAGTTAATTTCTTCGCTAGGGGCATGAAACTAGCAGTTGGTTGGGACCCGAGTAAAATACTGTAGTTCGTTAGAAACTGGTTCAGAATCAAAGTGGCCTTCAGATTAGAAAATTAAGATGAAAAGATGTGCAAGGTATATCACAAGAAGCGTCTCGTTTACCCATTCTTTGTCGACTTGAGCTTTAATTTTCGCTTCCTTGACTTGACACTCTTTTTTGATTGACAGCAGATAGGATAAACCCCACAGTAGTTAAGACCCGCGGTTCAGCGATGAAAACCGGAAACCTAAGCCCCAGTACTTGGAGTTATGAACCGAACGACAACAAAGCTGCCTACCACCAAAGTTGGGTTGCAGTGGAAGAGCTCGAACCTCAAACCATAGGGTCCAAAACACACCTGTGACAGAGACTTAGCCACTGAGCTGGTTCCTCGCCTATACCCGTCAGGTGATTAAATATGTAGGTCCTTTAAGCTGCAACTGAGAATACGATCAGGGTCCAAACAGTTATAGTTTCAGTTTCAGCTTATACAACCATTATAGAGTAATGACTCATGGGTTAATGTGCCTTAACTAGGCGTGTATATATGTGTGTCTGTGATACACTTACGTTTTTCGAGGCTTTCATCTGCTCCCACTGCTTTTGATAGATGGAAAGTCTGTTAGGGACGACTGCCATGAGGTTGAAATTCCCATCAATGCGCTGATTCATACGTTTTTCAAGTATTGGTCTGGCAAAATCAATCCATGCAGTACCTCCTGGTATTTTTCCATGGTCGATAGGACCTTCTTTCAAGCCATCTAACTCGTACAGCACACCGTTGACAGGAAGATAACCAACGAAATGGTATACATCATCGGGTTTCTTAGACACCTTGTCTTCAAACTCAAACATCTGGTAACTTTCGGGCGTTTTAAATTTGCTGGCAACCTACCTACTGAAGCTGTTATGGACTGTTCTGATTTGTTGAGAGGTGCTTAAAGAAAGTCCTTTCATCTGCAAGGGTTATCATTTTAAATTCACGTACTGTACTATCGAAATCCTCAACAAAAGATTTAAAGGTGAGAAGTGTTTCCCCAAGCTGTATATTCTGATCATTTATATTCATCAAAATGTTGATGATTGCTTGTGTTGCGCATGCATTTGTGATGACCTTCACGTAAATATTTTCGAAGTAATCCATTAATTTACTTGTTTGGCAAAAAATATCCCATTTTCTTTCGGATTATTGATTATTTTCTCATCTCCAGAAGATTGCCCTGCCCAGTTGAATAGGAATATCAGGCCCAAGGCATCGGAGATGCTCTCGGTCTCTTTCAAATCATAAACTTCTTCGCATTCCAAACCCTCGACACCTAAGATGTAATAAGAGTGCATCGTAGAACGTACCGAAACCTCTGATAAGTTCAGTGAAGACACCTGGATCGCTTTCTATCAAACACCAATTTCCATTCGCCGACGACGTGAGGTCTTCGTTTGCCATCTGAAAATGAAAGCACTGGCGGGCGTCCCAAATGTGGTTTAGGTCCAGTCCAGGTCAGGTCAGGTCAGGTCAGGTTGCACAGGACTGGTAATGGCCACGGCCAAT